CAATTCGGAATAGCCCGGTAACTTCATCCGTAATCACAGGGAACTTGCGTACTTTTGTACGATAGCAGGTCGGGTTTTCAGCTAGAAGGTACTGTACATTAGTTATTACTGCAGAAGTTCACAGCTGATAAGAAAACCATTGGTGTTATGAACCACTAACAAAAATGAAACTTACCCGTTCCATTTCCTGACCATGGCGAAAAGTCATCTCTATTAATATCATGAGGGTAAACGATATTTCCGGCAACAAAGAACGCATAAGCACGAGCGTTCCGTACAAGAGGAGGATGCTGAGGTTTCGAACTGTTTAGAATATCGTGGTTCTCTCTAAAAAAATAGGGAAAAATGACCACCTGAAAGTTGCGATAATGTCGAAGCGGTACTTACACAAAGTTGGTATTAGCGATGTATTGTAGAATAGTGTCCAGATTACCCGCCATTCTTTTATGTCGTACAGTAAGATAAACATGTCCGCTTTCAAGTTCACGAACACCATCAATGAACTGAACGTCAGACATTACACCACAAGATTGAGGGAAAGGTGAAACTTACCGGATCGGAATTTTCTTGTGAAGCTAGAAGGTCTTCATCAAAATCGCCATCCCATCCACCATCCAAACAATCTTCGTGCATTTCCTCAAACTGAAATGACATAATAGGTCAAAAAATATTCTTTCCAAACCACAAAATCAACTTTAAATCTACACAGAAAAATTTGGAAAAAAGCTTTTTAAGTTTATGAATGTATCGAGATTATGATTATACATCAAAAATCATTGGCAATTACCTACCTCAGTTTCAGTTCCCATCCCCATATTATTTTCATCAGCTCCTTCGACGATCTCCTCTACATCTACAAAGTCCTCAACAATGCCATTGTTTCCATGAGCGTCTCCTGGAGGTGGCTTATCATGGGAACTCATCAAAGCTGCTGGGCGCGCCTAAAATGGAGATGTGATTGGTAAAATTCTTTTAAATTTAAGGCAGTGGAGAAACTGACCGAGATGGGCGGACCAGGAACGGTGATAGAATTATCACGCAAAATTTCGGGCAATGGTCCTTCTCTAATATACTCGTACATAAAGCAGACGATGCCAAGGACCATACGATTATTGCGTTGAATGAAAACAACCTAAAAATGCAAGGACTGGTCTTAACAGTTTATCAACATAGCCGCAACCAATAAACGTTTCACATACTCTTTTTCTCAAACGCGGACACCTGGCTAAAACGGTAATCGTTTCAACCAGTGCCAAACCAGTCTGCTGCCAATCTTGTTTGGTCAAACGAAAAACACCTTCTGAATCTTGCATGAGCGCCCGTTTTACTGTGCGAAC